GGGTGGGTGACCTGAGCGCTCGGTCAGAGAGGCATCTGGCCCTGGCCGGTTGGAACAGCTGGGGCTTAGACCGGATTGCTTGTGGAGAGAACGAGGCGCGGCTTTCGTGTGGCCAGGGGAGTCCTGGCCCGGGGATGGGGAGGGGCAGTGTAGGAGGGAGGGCTCTCCCTAAAATGTCTTGGATTTTGTACTTTGCATTACGTGGATATACAGTAGTCAGACCTTGGTACTCGACTGCTTTTTAAACTCCTTGAATCTTGTTTTTTGTTTGTTTTTGAGACAGGTTCAAGCAGACCTTGAATTCACTGTGTAACCCAAGCTGGCCTTGAACTCATGGCGATCCTGCCTCAGCCTCCCGAGTGCAGGGATTATAGGTATGCATCACCACATCCACCTTTGATGCATTTTTGACACTAAAATTTTGTCCTGCTACTTGTGCTTTGTTTGGCATTCGATGCACAAGCTAAACCCTGTCACTCACCACCCTTTCCAACACATTTGTTTGGTACTTGTCATTTCCCAGAACCAGTTAATAAGTCCCTCGGTAACACTCTATGGTGGTACCTTGGTTCACAAACTCAAACTGTTCCACGATTTTGGAAAAGAAGACCACGTTGTGCGGGAACGATGGCCGCGATCGTCTTTGTCACTCAATGCAATCTGCAAACAAAAACAAAAATTTGCCAAACGCTTTTGTTTGTGAACAATTTTGCAAACAAATGCAGCTGTGAACAGAGGTACCAATGTATTATCATTTCAAAAACATAACCCTTCAGCTGGGCATGGTGGTGCAGGCCTGTGGCAAGTTGAGGAAAGAGGATTCCAAGTTCCAGTTCAATCCAGGCACTTAGCAAAACCATGGCTCAAAAATAAGTACTGGGGGTGTACAGCTTAGTGCGAAGGTCCTGGATTTGAGCATCAGTAATGGAGTCCGGGGAAGTCACCCTCTAATGAAAGCTTTTCTCAAGCTCTCTTGTTTAGGGATCACATTGTCCTCATTCCTGCTAGAGCGCAAGAGTACTGGGTACCTCTCCTCAGCCCGGCCCAGGATGGCGGGTACAGGCTGTGAAAGGACGACCAGATCATGTGTGTCAAAGGCTGAAAGGGACAGCATGTGCATGGAGGGGGGCGGTGGCTGTGAAATAGAGATGCCAGAAAAATTCCTAGCTTGATCCGGGAAAACAGGAACATTTCTGGCGGAAGAAACAACTTCAGCAGTCACGGGTCTGGATGACACTGTGAAAAACGTTATTACGTGGGAGAGCGTTTCAGGGAGGCCCTTGGAGGCTGAGAGAAAACTGCCGTGTGCACTAGAAGCCTGGAGGTCTCCTGTGTCAAAGAGGTGAGGACAGGACTGAGTTGTGGCCCAAGGAGTTCTGAGGCTGATCAGTCAAAGTCCAGGGAGCTTCAAGGGGAAGAGTCTGTGTTAGCCACCTCTCATCACGGGGAGTCAATTCCTAACACCCACACTTTAAGGGAGGACAGGCTTATTTGGCTCAAGTTTCAACTCCAAGGAGGGACCGCCTGCAGATCTGCTGTCCTAGGAGGCTGCAGCAGTGAAGGGTGGAATGGGCGGAGCGCCAGGCCACGCCCCGCGACACGCCCCGCCCCCATCATACTTTAAGTAGTTTGGAGGCGTCAGCTGGGACTATGGGACATCTAGATTTAAACCGTAACAGAGTTACATGAATTATCTGACTGGGGCAGACACTGAATATGTTAAAGGTGAGAAACCATCAGGAAGGATAGGGTGGGGCCTGAGGGTGCTGAAGGGAGGGCAACAAGAATTTCCTGAGAGGCCTTGCCCCTTGGAGCCTGTGGGACGCTGCCTGAGGTCGAGTATCCGAGCTGGGAGTTCCCTATTTCAACTCACACAGGCTTAATACCTTGAGGTTGTGTGGACCCAAAAAGAAGGTAGAAGTGCGGTCTCACTGGGACAGAAAGAATTTGTCACCGTTCACCAGAGCAGGAGGCAGGGCCTTTTCAAATGTGCATGACCCCCCACCCCGTTCTTTTGCACAAATTTCAACTTCTCCATGTTATTTCTAGACAAATACTTTCAAATCTTAGCTACTAGAATATAAACTCGGTAGCTAGACATTTCTTTTTCCTCCAGCACTGGGAATTGAGCCCAGTGTAATCCTTATACTGTTATATCTCCAGCCCTTTTTATTTTTGAGAGTGCCTTGCTAAATTGGCCAGCTTTGAACTTGTCATCCTCCTGCGTCAGCTTCCTGAGTGGGGTAGCTAGACATCTCTTTGCAGATCTTGCTTCGTGTTTAGTTTTAGGCCATTTATTCTGCACTTTCCCCCTTCCACTATCAGTTTGCTCTGAAATTTCATTAACTCAGTGCTTTTTATGGGGAGGGGGAGGGGTTTATTTCACATAAACTTAGGAACCTCCACCGGTCATGGCTTCAAACATGTAAATTCCAGCACTTGGGAGGCTGAGGCAGGACGATCACTACAAATTTGAGGCCAGCCTGAGCTACACAGAGTTCAAGGTTGGCATGACCTACATACTGAGACTGTCTCAGGAAAAAAACAAACAAACAAAATAATGAGGGAGGCAGATCAATGTGTGAGGCTACCTAGTTCACTGAGCTACACAGTGAAGTCAAGGCCAGTGAGACCCTTCTTCAAAACCAAAAAACATAGCAACTTCCTGAAACATTTTTATCCAAAGATTTCCAGGATTTTTTTTCAACGCTAAGACTCTCATTTGCTAAGCAAGTAAGCTACAGCCCTAACCCAGGAAAATTTTCTATTTAAATAAAAATGGTATGCTATAGAGTATATGTTAACTTAAAAAAAAATTTTTTTTTTTGAGGCAAAGTCTCGCTGTGTAGCCCGGGCTGACCTTGAACTCGATATCCTCCTGCCTCTCACTCCAGGGTGCTGGGATTACAGGCTTGCCCTACTGTACCCCACAGTCCTTTGAAGTATTTCAGAGATGGCTTGGACTGTCCCAGGAGAGCATGTGCAGGTGTCATTTGCTGAGAGCACCACTTGGAGAACCCATCCAGGATAAGGAGTACTACACAGCCCCATCCAGCAGAGCCCTAGACACTAAGAAGCTTCCCTCACTCACAGTCTGGCACCCGCTGGAGTTCTATTCCAAGCAGAACATCAGCAGTACAAGCCCACCCTGCACCAGACAGTTAGGTCTTAGGACCAATCTTTCCCAGTCTAGCCCGTTCTCGTGGCTGCTCTTTAACTTACCCCAAGGACCTTACTCTCTTTCTTTGGTCTGCAAGGCCCTTCCCACATCCATTATTTACTAGCCTGGAGACTCTTCAAGATTTGGTTACAGCACTGGTTCATCTCTCCCAGGAAGCTAATCTCCCCACTACCAACACGTGGTCCTGTTTGCCACGAAGGCACCTGTGCATAGTTCTCTATTCCAGGAACCAGTGACCGATGCCTGTGGTCATCACTGAAATTGTTTACAGCACACACATTAGCGGAGGTTCAAACACAACCAAGTCTCTCTTCAGGAGCCAGAAAACTGCAACATATAGCTCCAGGTTTCCTCCCGCCCAAATCTAAAAGTCATCACACTATTAATCAACAGCAACAAAACTCAGGAACCTCCCATTCCAAAGTGTTCAAATCCTATGACTTACTGTCTGATTTAAAAAAAAAAAAACTCATGCCTATTTAATCTGGCTTAGGATATAAATCACAAAGAAATTTTAAATTTTATATTTTACACATTAAAATTCTTTCTTTTTTTTCTGTTTTTTTTTTGTTGTTGTTTTTGGTTTTTTGTTGTTTTTTTTTTGTTGTTGTTTTTGGTTTTTTGTTGTTTTTTTTTTGTTGTTTTTTTTTTTTTGAGACAGGGTCTCACTATGTAATTGAGACTGACCTGGAACTCACAATGTAGCCCAGGCTGGTCTCGAATTCACAGCGATCCTCCTGCTTCGGCCTCCTGAGTACTGGGATTACAGGCATGCGCTACCACACCTGGCACGTGTTAAAATTCTTAATACAGTCTAATCCGATAAAGTTGAAGCACAAGCATGTTATTTCCTTTGGGAGTTGGTGAAATGAGACCAAAAAAAAAAAAAGTAAACTTACTTTGAATATATACCACCAAAAGCATTCACTGACTGTGCACTTGTCTATTTGTATCAAAGCTTTTTTTTCTCCCCAAATCAAGGTTCTAAGAAGTGAGTTTATATACATCCATATATAT